AGAAAGTTACCATGAACATGTTAATGTTTCATCATTGGATGAATACATGATAACATTATTGTATGCTAGATAGAAAGCATGTTTTTATGTGAGATGTATAAATGCCTGTGCACTGTTCCATGTGTTCTCCTTCTTTAGTTGTGGTAGTTTTCCATTTCAAGATCCTGATCACGGGTTAGATGGCTCCGGCCCTACAAATAAATCCAAGTTGAGACGTGGAATCGTGTGAGAATAGTAGTTATGATGAGAATGGTAATATTAGGCTTTGGATGAGTTGACTTTTCAACCATTTAAACTATTTACAACTTATGACTGATCGATGGTGTTCACTTTTCAAAGATTGATAAGACTGAACATATCATTGCTCTGTTGATTAAAGAAATTACAAATGTACAAGACAAAGACAAAATACATGATAGCTCTGAACATCTTGGTGGGCTTGTTTCTTTGGGTAAAAGTTACAGTTTAATAAATCCAAACCCATTATCTCAAAACCCACACATTGCTTTCCTGAGAAATGAATACTTGAAATACAGGAGAGGTTGTTGATGATTTCAATGCCATCAACCATATTGGTGTAATTGTGATTTACTTGAAATCGATTAAAGTGATTAGTCAAACATACGTGAGTTAGGAGGTATGGAGTGTACACTCACAAATGTTGTCTCATCACCTTAGATCGCCATAAGACAGGGGTCTAGGGCAGCGCTTCAAGATTTTTGGAATTTATGAGGAGTCGAACTTGTTTGAGAATTTCACTAAGTTTATGTCCAGTGATTAGAATTCTGAAGTTACCTTGAAAATTGGCCAAGTCTAAAGTCTGTATTATGCAATTAGACCGGAACTCTTGTCCATAAAGTCAGATTTGTAGACTTCACGTCGAGACTTGTGGTTTGTGAAATTGACYAAGTCTGAAACTCTGGATTCTAGGGTCAGACTTGGTGTCTTTGCAATCAGACTTTTAGACCCAATAGAGTCAGAGTTCAGGTACATGGAGAACTCTGATTTGGTTGGAAATGCTYTWCAATCTTATCCATTAATGGTTATAACCATTTAACTGCCCRTAACCATCAATCTCTCACRTATCCCTATTTCTAACATAGGCAAAGGTTCATCAATTAAGTGTATTTCCAAAATACCATCAGAAATCATCACACTATTTCATAGCCCCTGTAATTCCAAGAATCTATACATGTGAGTATGGTATAACAAAAKCTCACCTCAGACAATTCTTGATAATACCATTTACTGCTGAAAACCATGAATTCTGATTCACACCATTCTGGACAGTCAAAAACKTATGTGGTTGTCTTGTCTAGAAACTCATATACAACTCTATTKTATTTAAAGATGTGCCATACCGTAAACCTGCATAATTTGGTGAATTATTTTGCATTCTGGGACGGGTCTG